TGGTGCATTCAATGACCAACAGTTAAGAAGAATTTCAAACTTTTTACGGGACCCAACTTACACCGAAAAAATGTTACATCCCTTTCTCTTGCAGTTGGACTCTTTGGTGTGCCTGAATAGCTAAGTATTGTTAATTTTCTTCTTCAAACACATTTCACATCGTAAATCCAACCGTACGCTCATTTTCTAAAATCTGTGTCAGGTTTGCTAGCAGCATGGCAGCCAGCACAAATAAATGGTTCACGATCCGACACAAATTTGTTCACTGCTCTCATTTGCTTCATGTGTCGGGTCCTGGACTACTTATCTGCATACTTTAGCAAAAAAAAAACACATGTAACGAATCTTATCTTTATGTACTTTTGAAGGTGAAGCTGTCGGAACAGCATCTTGGCTCTGCACAGTAAAAAACCAGCCTGTCTATTTAATGTTTCATTAGCAACAGCACCTTTTTATTCTTTAACTTTGAAATTAGCTACAGTTGAAATGAACAGAGTTTAGATTTAATCAATCACAAGCTTAAAATTCTACTCAACCAAAGCCTGCTGCGGACAAGAAATGTTGACTTGTCTCTCCACTTAAATACCTTTTTTTTTTCACATATATGTTTTAATTATTTGACCTATGTTCATATACATTTATCTGAGGGTTTACAGTACCCTGTAACCTTGGAAAGCATTATAATTGTTCAAATGAAACTGGAAAGTTTAGTTTACTAATCTATGCATGTTGAAAAAAGAAGGTGACATATAACTGATATCCATTCATTCAAACCGTTACTGAATAAAATTAAAACTCCACCTATTTTTAGGGTATAGTGATGAGATTTCTTGCACGGAGGGATATTAAAATCAATTACCTAGACCTGTCAGCCTCACTTACCTTTGTCATTTGTGTCGCATCAACTGTCTCACCAAGTGCTAAACGGCATCATTTAAAATGGTTTCGGTATCCGGATTATACAATTGAATAATTGACTAAATTCCCTTCCACATGATGCCATAATTGCCCGTCATCTTCCTTAATCAGGTTTACACACACACAGACACACACAGCATTCCTGAAATGATAGCGCTTAGCTTTAGATGTCAACAAACTGGTGTGTCATCTAATGAAATAGTCTCGCCACACCTCCATGCAGAAGAAGCGTGGCACCATGATGCCCACAATCCGAAGGATCCTGAGGAAGAAGACCTTGTCCACAGCTGCCTTGTCTTTCTTTCCATCTTTCTATATGAAGGGGGGGAGGAATAGTCACTTAATTACAGTTGTATTTCACACATTTCAATGATAATTTTTAGGCTTGAAGAAAGCAAAATGCATGTGAGATACCTCTGTGTTCAGCACAAGTTGTGAGTTCCCTTTTGTGCTGCAAAGAACAATAAAGGTAATTTTTAATGCTTTTTTATGACTGAGGGGAGCTGAATTTTCCATAACAGTATTTTACAGTTTGTGATATATAATAAGAAGTTACTTAAACTTGTTCTATTCAGTTCTCTATTGTGAGAGTTTCTTATTTCTGTTACTTCATATGGATTTTAAGAAATAGATTAAGAGGGAAAAACAGGAAATAGATTATTAATTCAGGTTTCATTCAGTGTGAGCTTCATTTACACAGACATTTGCACTGGACTCTCAGTGGAAATGAAAAGCAAATAGTTCAGTAAAATAGGCATGAACCTGCCAAAATCTTGAGTTGATTCAGACAAACCTAAAATCTAGCATCAGGCTAAACTTTCAAGTGGGACTAACAATGAGCGTCATGTGCCTTAAACAGGTGAGGAGGCAGTTAGTTTACCTCCTCAAACTCCAAAATCGTGCCTGTAAACGTTACCAGTTAATCTATAACTTGTTAGAGCGACCAGAAAATTGTTAGTGATGACAATAAGACAGATTGCCACACTGTAACCTTGTGGGAAAACTAACCGTCAAGCAACCTTAAGTAAGAACAAAAAATCTGCCGTGGAACTTGGGTGGAAAGTTTCAGTTGCTTTGAAAACACGGTGTATTTTCGTCTGACACCGTGACCTACGATTTGACCTAATTTGTAAGCAGCACTAACCGCGAGAAAAGTTATTGTCTTTGCAGGAAATCAAAAGTTCAGGCACATTTCAATAGCAGGTCGTTGTCACCTGTCAAAATGGGAGCTAGAAGCTACTAAGTAGCTTCCCGACAAGTGCACTAAGCTAACAGGGTTTGTGGAGAGGCCAAACAGTCCAAACTTTCCACTGACCTGTGTTGTTTGGAGGCGCGACTTCTTTGCTTCAGCAGATATAATACTAGCAAAACACCACCTGCTATGGATGAGTTTTTCGCTGTAATATATTTACTGAAGGCCGCCATGTTTCCGTCACAACGACCGGTCTGATTTGTTCCAGGCACGACTGCGGTATGTATAAAGGAGCTTCCTGCTTTTCTTCTTCGTGGGACACGCACGCGACGCACTGGCGCATTTCCGCCATCAGGTGGAACGGAGGGCTGTGATTTGCTGGTAAAGCCCATCCAGAGTGGATAGAACTACAAAAAGAGGTATACATCGACCTGTTGCTTCGCGATTATCCACCATTAATGCATATCCGGTCAAGACAATGGAGGGAATTAATTATAAGCAACTATCGAAAACCCACAGACTATTTGTTTGTATTTCTATCCGGTAAATACCCAGATGGCCAAATGCGATTGATCCAGGGTTGAATATGGTTTGGCAGAAAAATTTAGTCCATGTTAAACCCTGACATTTGAATTATACAAAAAGTTGTCGGTGACTTAAATGTTAAATCAGAATCAGGTTTTCCACCTCAACTGATGCTGTGTCAATTCTGATTTAACCATAATCTAAATTTGGATCTGCATTCACATGAGTTTATTTTTTATTAAATCAATGAATATTCAACCACAATTCAAATGATAATCAATGTATAGATCTATATATTTCTTGCACCAAAAACTTTGAAGATACAGTAATCATAATACAATTACTTCCAGATCAATAAATTCCAAATTAAAGAGAGGAAGAGAGATACAAAGAAAAGTCATTTTGTCATGTTTCTGGACATTTGGCACCATCTGGGTAAAGACTCTCGGTTTGAACATTGTTGCCTTCTCATGAACAAACAAAGTTACCTTCGAGAACAGGCTGATATTGATAGAAGTTCACAAGCTACAGACATGGGAAGCCTTCTAGAATAGCCCAAAGCAATATTGTCTTCATTTTAGCTGTTTGACAAACCTTCCTCAAAATGAGATCTGTGAATTACACCCAAATCTTTGGGTATCTCTATCTATAGATTGCACTCATCTGGCTATACCAAGAAATTATGAGTTTGACAGAAATTTACATGTGCATAATTACAAATTTCCCAAAAATGGTAATTGTAAACCCACTTTTTTTTTACCTCTTAACTTCACAAACGTGATAATTGCCAATTCAAAAAGCCTCCTACACATACAAATCCTTAAATCACCGTATGCACACGGACAAAAATTCAATTACAAACAGGGGTGTTTACAAGTGCAGAAGAGCTTTTGCGTGGATTGTACCTGTTAGTGAGGGTTGAAAGCTAGCTCATCTGAATTTACATTTTGCTCCCCAAATGTTTTTTTTCTCCTTATAGTTGTGCCAAGTTGGCAAAGACAATCATATTCTTGCACTGTTGATTATAATGATATATTATGTGCCATTGTTATATAGATTGTTGTGATTATGTTTGTTAAAAAATGTCTTACTTCCATCGCTATTGGTCACCGGGTGCTGGCTGGTGTCTCTCAATAGGTTTCAGGCTGGTTGGGGAAGCTTGAACTACATGTGGATTACTTTCACATCTTTGCAACTGCTGAGCATCTTTAATCGAGCACCGGCTACTGTCCGGCTCTGGACAGGGTTTCCATGGAAATTCCTGGACACAGCTCCAGCAACAACCCGGATCAACCCGGATCATGGACTCGGATACACAATCCTTGGACACACACTCTCTTCCACCAACCCGGGCAGTTAATCCATTTCGAGCTAACATAGATCAAATATAATTTTCAAAAAATCTGATTGATATGTTGAGGGATTACATTTTTAAGTGTCAGAAAGGAAAGGCAGATACATGCTACAACTATTACCAAATGTGTATTTCAAATTAAACAAATAAACTTAGGCCAAAGATGCTAAAAAAAATCAGAAACTTAAAGCACAAACTAAAAGTTCAAATGACACATTCTTTTTTATTAAAGGCTAAATTCAGGCTGTGTGGCACACAAAAGGGATTTTATTTGAGACCTCGCAGAACAATAAAGAAAAGTTATGTCCTTTAGCTCTTTTTCTCAGGTTGAAGCACCGTGGGAAATTGTCATTTGACCTGCCATAACATTTCAGACAATGAAAATCTTAACAATGCAAGGACTTCTGTTCCGAAATGGGCAATGTCTCCCATGAATGCTCCATGTACAGCATTAGTAATGACACTGAAAAATGGGTAAATTTACCATATGCACATGAGTATACATTTATTTAAACTTAGACAAATTAAGCTTTCAGCCGACACTACAACAGGGAATACCTGGAGCCGGGTATCTTTGGCTTTCTCCCATTACACCGTATGGCTCCTCCCTCCTTCACCCTCCCTTGTTTTGTTCTTCCTGATGTCCGAATAGAAGCTCAGTATCACTCCCAAAATCTGTTCTTCTCCAACTTTGAGACAACCGAAGTCGGAAGAGATTTGTCCATTGCAATGGACACTGCTTTGCTTGTGTTGTTTTGTGCTTTTCCAGTTGTTTGGTGCTACAGTTCGGGTCTGATTATGGATAGCTGTGGGGACTTGCTGCCTCACCACTCGGGGCTGAGGCCACAGACAGGACCCTCACCTTACACTGTTACCACAGAGCACCGCAGCTACAGACCTGGAGAAGAAGTCAAAGGTAAGTTGAAGACTAATCCAAACCTGACCCGTGAATCTAACTTTTATTATGAAAGAGGTGGATTTATTTGAATGATTCCGTTTAACCACTCTGTTCCATCACATGAGATGTGACTCATCATTGTGTTGGATATATCAAAACAAGAGGTTGCATTAGCACTCATTGTCAGATTATTAATTTAGAAGGATTTTTTTGTAGGATATTAGATAATTTATTTTTATTTAATGTCACATGCTTTTTGCATGGTGACTGTGAGGTCATAGTTTGTTCAATAGTATTTTTTTTCAATCAGATTAGATTTTCTGGCACATAATCTGAACAGAATGGGTCAGTTAATTTTTTCTTTACTGACAATTTAATCTGAAACTCATCTGGAGACCAGCATCAGTAACCAGGGTGATTTGCGGGTTGGAAAAGTCAGCTTTGTGCCATTTAAACTCAGCAAAGGTTGCTTAACTACCGATCTCTCTTATGTGTGTTTGCCCTTGTGGATACATAAGAAGTCATACTAATATATTATTTGTTGGTATACATTGTTGTAACCTAAGTAGTTGTAGACTTCACATGGCTTAACTAATCCTAAAGACAAGCATACATGTATGTTTTTTTATTTTTATCTATACCACTAGGCTCAGAAACAGCTACTCCTTGTGGCCATTAGCAGCACCTGTTGGAATAAGTCCACACAGTTGACCAACACTCCTCAGACAACTTAACAGTGTCTGAGTTACTGTCCATTTCTTCCAGACTTTTAAAACCTACCAGGGAATCAAAAAAAGTTCCCCCTAGAAATCCTCAATGGTCTGCATCCTCTCAATGTACACAGCTGAAAAGGCAGGTTGTACTACTTCAAAATGAATGTGAAAGTCAGTATTTCCTAAACCTGTTTCTAGAACACTGAAATAAATACATTTGTTCATTATGATGTTCATTATGACTTATTTCACAGCAGTTTTTTATATCAGCTATTGTGCTTTCCATTAATACATTGAAAAAGGGGTTTGTGCAAACAGAGAAAACAATAGAGGAGAAGAGAGGGTGGTCATATTAAAAATGTCTCTTTATTGTTCAGTGTCCTGTCGTCTCATTGCCAAGCAATTAATACTCACCATCCCGAAGCAACGGGAATGCTAGTTTTCATTCATGGCAACTGCATGTGTTCGACAGAAAGACTGTTTTAGAGTGATTACATAGAACTTTTAATAGATTCAGACTACATTAAAAACAAAAAATCTGTATTATTGTCACGGATCGTAAAGTCCCAGCAACTACCTTACTGATAAAACTATGCTGGGTCTCAGGCTGAACAGCAAAAAAGAAGACCTTCACAAGAGTCCTCTTTGGTTTTCACCACGATTTCATCCACAAATCCATCTGCAAACATGTTGTTTATGTCAATGCATTTAGCAGATGCTTTTATCCAAAGAAACTTCCAATGCAGATACAACATTACAGTCAGCATCCCCCTGTCAATGTGCTACATAGAGGAAAATCTATATTCAGACAAGGGGGAGGTGGTAACAGCGTAGAGATCGAGGGAAGTACATGGAGGGTAAGAGTTAAGGAGGGAGATGCTCTCTCAGAGGTGGGCCTTTAAGAGTTTATTGAAGAAAGACTAGTCAGTATAAAAGCAGCCACTCCACTGAAACCGCTCCCCTGACTGTGACAGAAGCCCAAAAGGAATCCAGTACTGAAGACTTAGCAACAGCTAAGAAATATCACAATTTTACTGGGACTCACACACGTTAGTTACCATCTAACACTTTTTCTTTTTGTTTCCACTGGCTGTTTATTCAGCTGTACAGTACTAATGTGGAGGAAAAGTGATTCTGCAAACGTCAGTGATCAATTTTTCTTTTTTTTTTCTGGCAGAACATTCACAAAAATTAGTTTTGGCGTGTTTGTCATAAAGACGATCACTGTCAAAAGTGATTTTCAGTAGAAAACAAAAATTAAATACGGAATTTTTTTATGTCTCTCTGTCTCCAGTTATGCTTCAGGGTCCAGCATCTAGTCCATTCATTGGTTTTCTGCTCCAGGCTAGAGTAGTAGGGGACAGTTTTCCTGTTGGCTGGTTTTCTTTGATATCAACAGCTGCTCAACTCCTCACCTGCCACCAAAGATCTGTAAGCATCCTCCTGTACACTATGAATGTTATTTCGCAAGTAACGCGAAAAGGCTTTTTCACTCTCTGACCTAACGATGGAACAAATAGGTTCAAATTCATCCAGTCTAAAACCTAGAGCTACATTTGATGGTATTTCCAATTTAATGGTAACCTCTTTTTCTTTAGAAAGCCAATCATGCCTTGATTCTCACTCGTTTCTTTACAATTATTGTTTTTTCAATGGTTAGTTTGTCATTTTCAGTAATAATTTGGAATGCAATCAGTATTTTTTTTTTTACATGAGAGTGAATTACAAAATGGTCCCAATCAGACTTGAACTAGGGGCTAATAGCTACACCTGTTCCTCTTTTTGGTCTAAATTAAACGCATTAGTTTAATTTTTGCATGACCACACAGGACAGAGAAGGTTTTGACACTGGACTCCTGCACCAATAGTTACCTGAAAGATTCAAGAAGTCTAATAAAATATGCTTCAATAAGTTACTTATGACTTTTATTGTAATACACTTCTTGAATGACACATGTTAAATGCATACAATGAAAATCTTTCTTTTCTTTTCGTCACATTGTCAAAGACACCACAGGATACCTCGGCTACTATGAATAGAATCTAAACTTTTAGATTGAGGTTAACTTAACTTTTTACATTATGAAGGAGTCTAAGCTTTTCAGCGAAACAATGTCAGTCTTTTCACACTCGTTTTTGGTGCTTCTCAGAGGGAAGCAGCATGAGAACAGTCTGCTGAGACTGTGATCCCTCCTGACGCGGGTCTAAATGTCCTATTTAGAGCAGAAGCTTGCACCAAAGATATATTCTGCACTTTTGATAACACACTGGAGTCCAATTCTCTTTTGCACCCTTCAGTATGACGGAGCAAGTGATAACACTCCTCTATAACCCTGTAAAAGGGGGTGTGAATTTCCGTTGGCTTTGCTAATTTTTTCTCAGCTTCCACAGAGAGTACAGTTTTTTTGTGTGATCAGTTGACGAGTTGTTGGGTGTTGTCATGGATAAGACACAATGTGTGTTTTTTTTTTCTAAATAACAGTCATTTGGACAAATGCTTAAAAGTCCTGATAATAATTTGATACTGATGAGCCGAAGGACTTGATTTGTAAAACCAATAAGTATAACTTCACAAGGTGATCAACTTTCATTATTTTAATGCGTACATAAACACACACACAAAAAGCTAAAACCTGTCATAGTGAATGTACTCAGTGTTCCAGAGTCATTTTATGTAGCGACTCCTCAGATAAAGGTTATTGAAACACCAAGTTTTATGTAATACACAGACTTAATGGGAAATGTGCTTCTATGCGTTTGAGATTATTTGAGAATTGCAGCTTTGGCAGTGAATTGTAATGCGTCTGTGCTTGTGTGTGTGTGAGAGAAGAATGCAAGTGTGTCCCACAGATCTAACTCTGCGAAGAATTCCATCCAGGTGGCATGGAAATCCGAGCCATCAGGAGACATAAAAGCAGTTACATTCCAGTTAGGTTCAATCAAATTGTTCAGTTCTCTCTTATAACAATTTTTCATGTTTCATATTCCCTTTAATTTAGTGTCATATTGCATCAACAACTCTGACGTGTTTTCAGTGCCTCATTTGTACAGAATTACCAGGTTTTTTGGGTTAATGTGACAAGTCCCTCCCTGAAGATTGTTAATGACTATCAAGATGGATCAACCAGTTCACCGACTCCACCAGTTTCCAGCACTCCACAACTTCATGTGAGTAATCAAGTCAAAGCCCATAGCAGGATAATTATAGGGGAACGTTTCAAGGAAAAAAACCTGAATCATCCCTAAACATATTAGTCTTCAAAAAGTGTCAAGTGTCCTCTGCTTTTGTTTTTAACTTAAGGGGAAGTGGTTGTGTATCTTTTTTCTTGGTCAGGCTACTACTTCATGGAATTAATCATGTCAAGGCCTATAGCAGGATAATTATAATGTAACATTCAGGGAAACTTGAATCATCCCTTAAAAAATGATGTTCAAAAAGTGTCAAGTGTCTTCTGCTTTTGTTCTTAATTTGAGGGGAAGTGGTTGTATTTTTTTTTCTTGCTCCGGCTAGCTAGCCCCTAGCCTTTAGAGTGTTTTTCGGAGCATGGCTTGTGATTTCCACACTTATGTGGGGTGGCTTGGGCTTAGGAGGAAAAAGCTGTTGCCTGCTGATTGTTTAAATATGAATATTGTACGTCTTTTCTTCTGTTGTTTTTTTTTTACTTTTGAAGGGTATTTCAAGTGCAGGCTGCGGCATCACAAAAGTGTGCTTCAGTCAGCCCCCAAACTGTGATCCAACGGTTTTTCCTGACTGTTACTTCATGTCGGCCATGATGACATCTCCTAATGGTCCAGCCATCCGCTATGAGATGACAGGTCCCTCTGATGGATATATTGCTTTTGGATTCTCAGATGATCAGAGGATGGTAAATCACATTCATTGTCATTGTATTTGGAGCCTGTCAGAGTCAGCATTTTATATCTGAAGTTTGCATATTTCGTACTACTATATGATTACAGTGTTCTATTACAGATTTTGAAGAATTGTAAGACATTGATGAGATAAAATGGGGATAAGATTCAAGAAAAGAAAAAGAGAATAAAAGTTGTAGTAATAATGGGAAGCACATTTTCTAAGGCAGCTAATGTCTAGATTCAAGAGGCTAAACAGACAGAAGCTAAAGCAAGTGATAATAACATTTCAAAATAATTGGTAAAATGTACTGGAGCCACAATTCTGTAACCAGTTTAGGGTAAGGGGACATTGTTAGAATGTTAAGCAGCCTAGCTAGAGAAGATAAATCACAGTGAAGAATCAAAGATTTCTATCTTTTGAAAGGCAGCAATAATCATCTTACTGCAAGACAGAGGGATTGTGACAAAACAAAACAAAATGCAGTTGTGGTGGTGACTCTGTCATGCCGACCAGAGTTTTCCTTTGGATTAGATTTAATGTTTTATCTAGGGCTGACCAATATCAAAATGCCATGTCAACATCTGAAGCAAAAAATAATTGATAGCTCTTTGATTTGAATCTTAACAGAAATTACAGACATCAATTGTCTGAAACAATGTCATAACTAATTATTTAAAAAATCCATTTTAAATTTGTTTTTTCTCAGGGAAATGATGATATATATATCTGTGGCGTGGGCAGTAATGGACAGCTGTGGGTTCAACGGGCTTTTTCAACAGGACGATCAGTTCCACAAGTTGTTCCTCTGGTACAGAAGTTCTTCTAATACCAAAGATTTACATAAGCACAATCTATCCAGTCATGGATCAAAAACTTTTTTGCTTCTTTACATCAAAATTCAATTCAATTCTTCATTTCCAACAGGGAAACGTTTCCGAAGTCAAAACATCGATGCAAAACAGAGTCCTCAGCTGTTCCTTCACTTCCACAAATATCATTTCTACCAAGGCAACTTCTGGCTTCAAAAAAACCTACCACCTCATGTTTGCCCATGGGCCCAGCAACAGGGGTAATGCGATCCTCACTGCTAACCATAAGTGTTAGGTAATAAGAGAAAAGACTTGCAGGGTGACATGAGGAAAAGTGCGATTGATCATCTTTATGGTTTAGCTTTATGAAGATCTAAGGCTGTTTCACACATGAGCAAAACATATTTTCCAATAGATGCCGCTCATTCCCCACTGGGAACCAGTGGTAAAGATAATGGATGGATTTAGCAATTTATTGAACTTTTTCATGCCACTTTTCCTGTCTGTGTATGTCTCGAACAGGGGGAATCCAAATCCACACAGGTACCTTCATCAGTGCCAACAAGATAGATGTTTCCAGACCTTCACTAGCCCCAAAAGCTGGACTGCCATGTCTCATCCAAGCACATGGTGAGATCCGCTCTATTTCTGCCTGTGCACTTTTCATTACGAAAATAGTGCACAAACAAACAAACCTAATGATTTTTGGTAATTCCCTGTGACTCAGTCGTTTGATTAAAAATTTGGATTTTCTAAATAATTTTTTAGAAAAAAAGCTTTTTCATAATATATTTTAATCATTTATCTCACATCTTTAATTGAATTAAAGAGGGAAAATCATTTTAAAATTAAGAGTTTAAAAGTAGAAATTAAGAATAAGTGAAACAAAGATAAGATAAAACAGATAAAAATCCATCCATCCATCCATCCATTCTCCTCCGCTTATCCGGGGTCGGGTCGCGGGGGCAGCAGCCGGAGCAGGGACATCCAGACTTCCCTCTCCCCGGCCACTTCGGCCAGCTCCTCCGGGGGGATCCCGAGGCGTTCCCAGGCCAGCCGGGACACATAGTCCCTCCAGCGGGTCCTGGGTCTTCCTCTGGGCCTTCTCCCGGTGGGACGAGCCCGGAACACCTCCCCAGGGAGGCGACCAGGAGGCATCCTGGTCAGATGCCCGAGCCACCTCAACTGGCTCCTCTCCACGTGGAGGAGCAGCGGCTCTACTCCGAGCCCCTCCCGGATGGCCGAGCTTCTCACCCTATCTCTAAGGGAGAGCCCAGCCACCCTGCGGAGGAAACTCATTTCGGCCGCTTGTATCCGCGATCTCGTTCTTTCGGTCACTACCCAAAGCTCGTGACCATAGACGAGGGTGGGAACGTAGATCGACCGATAAATTGAGAGCTTCGCCTTTAGGCTCAGCTCTCTCTTCATCACGACAGACCGGTACAGCGCCCGCATTACTGCAGACGCCGCACCGATCCGCCTATCGATCTCACGCTCCCTACCCCCATTCGCAAACAAGACCCCGAGATACTTGAACTCCTCCACTTGGGGAAGGACGTCCGCTCCGACCCGGAGAAGGCACTCTACCCTTTTCCGGTGAGAGACCATGGTCTCGGACTTGGAGGCACTGATCCTCATCCCAGCCGCTTCGCACTCGGCTGCAAACCGCTCCAGTGAGAGCTGTAGGTCCCGACTTGATGGAGCCAACAGGACCACATCATCTGCAAAAAGCAGAGATGCGACCCTAAGGCCACCAAGACTGACACCCTCAACACCTCGGCTGCGCCTAGAAATCCTGTCCATAAAAGTTATGAACAGGACCGGAGACATAGGGCAACCTTGGCGGAGTCCAACTCCCACCGGAAACGAGTCCGACTTACTACCGGCAATGCGAACCAGACTCTGACTCCGGTCGTACAGGGACCGAACAGCCCGTAACAAGGGGCCAGGTACCCCATACTCCCGGAGCACCCCCCACAGGATACCCCGAGGGACACGGTCGAACGCCTTCTCCAAGTCCACAAAACACATGTGGACTGGTTGAGCGAACTCCCATGCACCCTCTAGGACCCCGCTGAGGGTATAGAGCTGGTCCAGCGTTCCACGGCCAGGACGAAAACCACCCTGCTCCTCCTCGATCCGAGGTTCGACTATCCGACGGACCCTCCTCTCCAGAACCGCTGAATAGACCTTCCCAGGGAGGCTTAAGAGTGTGATCCCCCTATAGTTGGAACACACCCTTCGGTCCCCCTTTTTAAATAGGGGGACCACCACCCCAGTCTGCCAATCCAGCGGGACTGCCCCTGATGTCCACGCGATGTTGCAGAGTCGCGTTAGCCAACGCAGCCCCACAACATCCAAAGCCTTAAGGAACTCCGGCCGGATCTCATCCACCCCCGGGGCCCTGCCACCGCGGAGCTTTTTGACTGCCTCGGTGACTTCAGCCCCGGAGATTAGAGATCCAAACTCCGGATCCCCAGGCTCTGCCCCTCCAACGGAGGACGCGCCAGTGGGATTGAGGAGGTCCTCGAAGTACTCCGCCCACCGACCCACAACGTCACGAGTTGAGGTCAACAGCACACCATCCCCACTGTAAACAGTGTTGGTGGGGCACTGCTTCCCCCCCCTGAGACGCCGGATGGTGGACCAGAATCGCCTCGAGGCCGTACGGAAGTCTTTTTCCATGGCCTCCCCAAACTCCTCCCACGCCCGGGTTTTTGCCTCGGCGACCACCCGAGCCGCACGTCGCTTGGACTGCCGGTACCCATCGGCTGCCTCCGGAGTCCCACAGGCCAAAAAGGCCCGATAGGACTCCTTCTTCAGCCTGACGGCATCCCTCACCGCCGGTGTCCACCAGCGGGTTCGAGGGTTGCCGCCACGACAGGCACCGACAGCCCTGCGACCGCAGCTC